TTTGTAGCTCAGCTCACTTAGTAAAATATGCAAATTTGCCAAAATAACCAATAGATAATTTCACATAGGAAGCTTTAAATTATGTCTTAATTGTGCTAATGTCAAAATAAAAGATGGGTGGCTTGGTTTATATTATACTGAAGTAAGTAGCATAAACATATATTTCATTAGTGCTTTGTTTTTAATCTTGTACTTTGGCAAGGCTTTTACTGTGATAAATGAATTTTCCTTTTCATTGGGAAAAGCCAACTTACTGTTGTTTTTGGTTATGTAGTTGCATTCCTTCAGACTATAATAGTTAAAGACAAGAAACAGTAAGGGATATTTGCCTCTGAGACATTCATTTCTTAGATTTACATGGTAATGACCTTATGAATGGTTTCTTATTTTTTTAGTTTTCTTTGAACATTTTCCTGAAAGACATGTGGAGTTAAAATAATGAACAAATATTTTGCATTTATATGAAAACCAGCTAAAAGTGAACTAATCCTGACCACGTACTACCTAGATAGAACTCCTGTGGCTCTGAATTCTCACAGGCATGTATTTTCTAGCTGTCCTTTTGATGTGTCCAAGGCAAAATTAAACTGTTCCTTCTCACGTTCCCTCACTCCTCCTAAATCCCTGTCTTTGTGATCAATGGCCCACCTTGCTGCTCAGTTGGAAAACTTGAATAGAAACCCCAGCATCTTCTTGACTTCCCATCTGATGATTTTATTGTTGTTGTTGTTGTTTTTGTGAACTTTTCCTCCAAATTTTTACCCTACTCTGTGTCTACCCCCCACCCCCCCACTGCCAGGCTTGATGTGCACGTTAGCCGTTTCTTGGCCTACTTGTGGTCTGTCCTCTCCCCACTTGGACTCCATCCCTTCTCTGCCCCCAGAATTCTCTGATCGGATGATTGATTGTCTTCATCATCTCTAGTAGTTCTCATTGTCCACAGATGAAGACAAGCTCCTCAGCACACAGTCAAGCCTTTGCAGTCTGGCCCTGACCTATTTTTCAATCCTCATTCTCTGCCTTTGGTACTCCTGTGGTCAACACCTCAGCCCCACTGAATGCCAGTTTCCCGATTCGTGCCTGTAGCTACATTGTTTCCCTTGCCTCTTTGTTCCCCCTAATGCCATCCTCACACCTTTCCTTGCTATCAGTCACCAGCCCTCTGGACTTTTCACTGGATGCCTCTGTTACAGGTCTTGTATTGTAATTAATGGGTGCCATGCTTCCCATGGGCTACTCATCTATGCGTGCTGGGAAGGAAAGGATAATTTTCTTTTCTTTTCTTCTTTTTTTTTTTTTTTTAAGATTTTATTTATTTATTTGACAGAGATCACAAGTAGGAAGAGAGGCAGGTAGAGAGAGGGCGGTGGGGAAGCAGGCTCCCCGCCGAGCAGAGAGCCCGATGTGGGGCTCGATCCCAGGACCCTGGGATCATGACCTGAGCCGAAGGCAGAGGCTTTAACCCACTGAGCCACCCAGGCGCCCTGTAAGGATCATTTTCTATTCAACTTTCACTTAATGCAATAATCTCTTCTTGGCTTATAGCTCAGCTTCTTCTGTACTGATTCTTGGTATTATACTATCACTTCCGGATATATACTATTTTTGGCAGAGTCAGTGAGGTTAAAGTTCCACCTCTAGGTATATGGCTCCAAAGACTTGGAAACAAGGACTCAGACAGATGCTTGCGTGCAAATGTTCATAGCAGAATCATTTATTCACAATGACCAAAGGATAGAAACAGCCTAAGTGTCCATAGCTGATGAATGGATAAGTTTAATATGATATACATACACAATAGAATATTATTCAGCCATAAAGGGAATAAAGTTCTGTTATATATGTCAGCATGTATTAACCTAGAAAACATTACCCACTAAGTGTAATAAGCCAGACAAAAGGCACAAATATCTTATGATTCCACATATATAAGATATCTTGAGTAGGCAAATTCATAGAGATAGAAAGTAGATTAGAAGTAGTCAGAAGGCACCTGGGTGGCTCAGTCGGTTAAGTGTCTGACAGTTGATTTCTTCGGCTCAGGCCATGATCTCAGGGTTGTGAGATTGAGCCCCATGTTGGGCTCCATACTGGGTGTGGAACCTGCTTGGGATTCTCAATCCCCTTCCCCCTCAGCCCACCCCCCCCACCAAAAAGAAGTGATTAGTGGCTGAGGAGAATGGAAATGGAGCATTATTAGGTAAAGGGTGTAGCATTCCTGTTGGAGGTGATGAAAATATTTTGGGAATAGTGGTGAAAGTTGTACAACATTACGAATATAATTAATGCCGTTGAATTAAAAATGGTTAAAATGGCAAATTTTATGTTACATATATTTTACCCCAATTAAAAACATACATAGTTCATGTAATTTAAAAAAAGTTACTGACACCACCACCCTTAGGCACATATGTTCCAACATGTGGTTGTATGCAAACATGTTGTCTTTCTTTTTTTTTTCTAAATTATTTTTATTAACATATAATGTATTATGTGCCCCAGGGGTACAGGTCTGTGAATCATCAGTCTTACACATTTCACAGCACTCACCATAGCACATACCCTCCCCAGTGTCCGTAACCCCACCACCCTCTCCCAACCCCCCTCCCCCCAGCAACCCTCAGTTTGTTTTGTGAGATTAAGAGTCTCTTATGGTTTGTCTCCTTTCCGATCCCATCTTGTTTCATTTTTTCCTTCCCTACTCCCCAAGCCCCCCTCACTATATCTTCTATGTTTATCGGCCTTACCTTCACAATATAACACGGATTTCTTGAAGTCAGGAACCCGTCTTTACAGAAAATATCTTTTAAGAAATGGCTTTTAAATATCCTTTAACAAACAGAGGTTTGGAGTAGGTTGTTTTTGCAATTGCTGAAACTTTAGGAGAGCATTTGATATTTTACGTGAATGTTAATATACTCAGCCTTGACAAAGTGACATGAAGCTGTTTTGGAACATAATTTGGTATTTCTGACCGACTATTTAGGAATTGTGCATATTAACCCTGATACCTTTGGAAGGAAAGCCAAATAACCCAGCCAAGTGTGCTTTAAGTTTTTTCTTTTGCTGTTTTCAACAAAGGGCTTGGATAATTAGGCCGATTACAACCTGTGGATGGGAGTCCTACGTACTCTTTTCCCTAAATCCTCCTTTAAAGGAAATAAAAAATTTTCTATACTTTGTCCAAACATAAATAATTTTACTCTTCTGGGAGTTAAGGTGCATTTCTTCATCTTTTAAGATCCTACGGAAATGCTAAAAAATAAAATTGGTAACGATGACAAACTAATAGTGTATACTGCAGTGCGTTTAATGTACATGGAAACATGTGAAATCGAAACCTCTTCAAATCTAGACTGTTTTATTGCTGAGTGCCAGGATATTTTTTGAAAATAACCGAGATGTAAATGTGAGAAGATGTTAGCTCATATTTACTGTTACTCATCTTGTGTAAATTTCGGTTGTCACTATCAGCCTTGAGGTTTGTATTTGGAATCCACCCAGCAAACTGATCAGGAGTGATGATGTGATGAATGCTAAAAAGGTTATTGAAAACTCAATTTCTCATGGGGTGCCTGGGTGGCTTCCTCAGTTAAGCCTCTGCCTTCAACTCAGGGCATGATGGGGGTGGGGTGCTGGGATTGAACCCTGCATGGGCTCCCTGCTCAGTGGGGAGTGTGCTTTTCCCCCTGCCCCTCTTCCTCCCCATGTGCTCTCTTTCTCTTGCTCTCAGATAAATAAAATAAAATAAGAAAACTAAATTTCTCTTGTATGACTATTCCAGAGGTCAAAATTAGAAAACACTGTTAGTTTCACCTTCATTACACTTTTTTTGGAAGGTGCATTGGCCACACGGTGAAAGTGCTTTCTAACAGATTTTCCTATTCCTCCAAACATGGACAGTAAATGTGATCTAGGCAGTTTCATCTCAATTTTTACTGTGTATTTGAATTACCTGAAGATCTTGATAAAATGCAGGTTCGGACTGGGGGGATGGACATGGGTGGTGAGATTCTGTATTTCTAGTAAGCTCTTAGATGCCTGGTCTGTGGACTGCAATTTTGAGCAGCAATGCTCTGGGTGGAAACTTATTTCAAATATCTGATTTTGATGTGCTGCTAAAATTGGCTGCCCTCCAGTGCTGCTAGATAAAATACAGAGTGCTCAAGACATCCCATTTACTATTTTTGCACATACGTGTACTACAAAATAATTCATTTATCTGAAATTTAATTTTCACTGGACTGGACACCAGATAGATAGATATAAACATACCCCAAATCTGGCAATTCTAAAATGTGATCTTAATAATTTCTGAATACAGTTAAATGTCAGCATATTATTAGATTTAAAATAATATGATTATTTTCAGAGAAAGGATGCAGAATTAGATTTATTTCAGACTTTTTTTTTTCTTTTTTTGAGAGAGAAAGAGAGAGAGAGATCGTGATTAAGCAGGAGAGGGGAAGTGGGACCGGGAGAGAGAGAATCTTGAGCAGGCTCCATGCTCAGTAGCATGGAGCCAGACACAGGACTCTGTGTCAAGACTGTGAGATCATGATCTGAACCGAAATCAACAATTGGACACTTAATTACCTGAGCCACTCAGTTGCCCCTCCGACTTGTTTTTTCAGTACTTATTTAGATATTTTGCTCATAGGCTTTTCAATACAATCAAATATGGTAACATGACTGCACCCCCTCCAGTATCTAGGAAATTCTTGGAAAAAGAGTGAAATCTGTACATTCTAAAATATATCTGAAAGCACAGAAGTACCTGTTATCAGTATTTTCAGTTGAACACTTGAAATAATAAGATGTTAATATGATAGATTTGAATTTAGACAATCTTTATAGTTTTTTCTTGTTATCTCTTCGAGTTGGTATTGTGTACTCCTGGTACTTTCAAATCCTGTATATAATACCATTACATGAGAATGGTCTTTCATTTTCTTCAAGTGTATGTAAGAAAATGTAAATGCTTTTCTTTGTTTTTGCAGATTCTTTACAGAGTTGGAAGCAAGACATCAGAGTAATATCTTCATAGATGACATAAGTGACATTGTGGAAAAGCACACAGCCTCCACATTTGACCCATATGTGAAATACTGCACAAATGAAGTCTACCAACAACGCACACTACAGAAATTGTTGTAAGAGATGTTATTGAATGTTACGGTGAATAGCCTAACCTCGTTTTAATTAGGTCACATTGATTGAAATTAATTGATCTCTTACATCGTATTTAGAAATGCCTTCTGATGAGCTGTTTCCCAGTACTGCTTTCAGGGTGAGGGTGTTTGAATAGAAAAATCTAGTCTGTGGACAACTTTCTCTCTAAAGCAATTATGAAATTATGGCTTCTGTTACCGTTTTCCTTGTTGTTGTTTTAAATTGCTGTAAGACACAGAGTGACCATTATTCTAAAACTTCCGTTTTCCAAGCTATTAACTGGCCATTGAGTAGTTTGCCTGAGGCCAAGAGAGTATTTGAGTTGAACTAGTGCCTAGGATCCAGATTCTCTGCTCTTCTAATCTTCCTCCATTCAGGTGACAACACCATTAATTTTTTTTTAATAGGAATTGCTGATTTTCCCCTTCTGGGGACTTAGAAGTGAAGAGAGAAGGGAAGGTCTGAAGGAAAGCAAAAGAAACAAATGTTCTTAAAGACTTTAATTTGTGCAACAAAAAAGAATGATGCTTTAAAAATCCTTCCTCACCTTTTCCCCTTTGTCCTATTTAGGTTACTGAGAGTTTTGATATGATGTATATGTGTTTAGCCTTAAAAGTCAGTGATTGTCCTTAATGTCTTGTTTTATTTCGGAAGACCCTGCTTATCTCACGTAGCTCTCTGTTTTCTAGGACAGTGTGAATTGCCATAAACTCAGTTTGGGGGCTAAAGGCTATTATCAATCACCCCCCCCCCCCCGCCATGGGTTGTGACATTTACGACCACAGCGTGGAGCTCTGGTCAGCTGCTACGCAATGTGTGAGCCCCTGTGGAGGGATTGGGGTTGGTGCAGAGAGAAACAGTGCACTGAAGTTTCCAAGTCCTTGGGAAGGGCTGATTGTGCCCCTTCTTCTCTCTCCACAACCTCATGAAACTCTTGTGTGGGCAGGGGGGAAAACCAACAGCTGGCAACCCCAAATGAGGTTTTTAAGTGCAAAACCAGTGTTGTTGGCACTGTTGACATTTGGTCTGGATAAGCCTTTGCTGTGGGTGCCGTCCTGTGCTTTGTAGCAGGTTTGATAGCATCTCTGGCCTCTGTGCACGAGATGCCCCTCACTCCAGTTGTGACAACCAAAGATGTTTCTAGATGTTGCCAGATGTTCTTAACAGCATAATCTCACCCCTTGCTTTTCTTAATCCCACACCTGTTCAGGAATCGCTGGTAACTGTAGAAGATGCAAATTACATGTTTGAAAACAAAGCCTTGAGTTAGAGCTAAATTTCATTTTGTTTTCTCCTTATTTTTCCGTATTTAAGAATGGTGACTAGGTACTCCTGTACCTCGATACCATTGCCTCTTCATTCGTTTACTTCCCACTTCTGTAAATTTCTAGCTCATACGTTTCTCATTGTTCATATTGATATCTTTAATGCCCATCTTATATTCAGTCGTTACTATAAAAGGTAGACAAGCCATCTGTCGGTATCATTGTTTGTTGATTTATATATTAAAAGATCCAATATATGAATTTATCAGAACATTTTATACAGGCATACCTAGTTTCGTTGTGCTTCACTTACCTCACCTTTAACAGAAGGTTGGTGGCAACTGTGCGTCGAACGAGTCTGTCGGCGCCATTTTTCCAACAACGTTTACTCACTTGGTGTCCCTGTCACATTTTAGTACTTCTCACAATATTTCAGACATTTTCATTATTATCATAGTTGTTACAGTGATCTGTGGTCAATGATTATGACTCACTGAGAGCTCAGGTGATGGTTAGCATTTTTTAGTCACAAAGTGTGTTTTAATTAAGGTATGTGCATTGTTTTTAAGACATAATGCTCTTGCACATTTCAAAGACTGCATGACTTTTATACACACTGGGAAACCAAGAAATTCCTTTGACTCGCTTTATTGCAATATTTGCTTTATCGTAGTGGTCTGGAACCAAATCCACCATATCTTTGAGGTAGGCCTGGGATATGTTTTTACTTCTTAACTTGAGGAGGAAGTATTTTGAGTTTCTTCTTTCTTTGTTTCTTTTCAGAGCCACTAACCCATCTTTTAAGGAAGTACTGTCACGAATTGAGTCCCACGAAGACTGCAGGAACTTACCCATGATCTCCTTCCTCATTCTCCCCATGCAGAGGGTGACTCGCCTGCCCCTGCTGATGGACGTAAGACATGATCTAATGGCTCTTCCTTTGTGGGTAGCTGTGCTGCTATCAATCTGGTTAAGAAAATTATTCTTATTTCACTTAAATCAATGTACTATAGCTCTTCTTCAAATTCCTCCAACTAAATTTAAGTGTTGGAAAGTCTCACTGTGTCTAATATCTTTGGAAATTACCTTCAACTTAGGCTTGTGTGGGCGCTCTGAAGATTTCAGATTACATCACTCACTTAACATTTTTTGAAATGGGAAAAATAATCGGCTTATTGAAGACAAGGGGCTTGGGTTCCGTTTCCAGCTGAGCCATTAGGCATGTGAGCTTGGGCAAGTCACTTAACATCTTCACTTTTCTTAGATTAATCACCAAGATCCCATCCCTGGAGGGTTCCTAGAGGCTGTGGTGCTTCTGCTGCACATGGGGATGAGACACTCTTCAGCACTAGAAAGGGTTGCTCAGTTGTTGAGCCTCTGCCTTCAGCTCAGGTCATGATCTTGGGGTCCTGGGATTGAGCCCCGCATCTGTCTGGCTCCCTGCTTGGCAGGAAGCCTGCTTCTCCCTCTCCAACCCCCCCACCCCGCTTGTGTTCGCTCTCTTGCTGTGATTCTGTCAAATGAATAAATAAAAATATTAAAAAAAAAGAAAAAAAAAAAAGAGGACATGCACTTGCCCTCATTTTCTATTGTACAAAGGAGGGTGAGGAAAGGCCAGTGTCCTTATTTTAGGAAACATTCATGAAGAAAACAAGGATTTGATTTTGAATGGTGGCAAGACATGCCTGGGGGCGTCGAGTAGAGACTGTCTGGTCTGAAATGCAGCTGGGAGGACAGCCCACAGCAGCAAAGACTGAGAGAAGAACCAGGTGGCCCGGCACAGCTCCCATCCGGCTGGTGGGCCAAATTGTGTCTTTTTGATCAAGTTAAAATATTTTGCCGTAGTTTTACTTTAAAATTGGATCGTGATGTAAATGTCAGTTTTAATGTATTTGATTTTTGCATGTCAAAACACAGGATAAAAATACAGCAAAGAATTATGATTGAGTAAGGCTACAAGATAAATTCCATTTTCCATATTCCGTTATAAATTCACAAAGATTTCCTTAAAGCACTGACATTTTGCAGTGAGTAAAAGCATGTGATCCCAGTCACTTTGTTGGCTCTGCTGGCTGGTTGGGGGTGGGGGGCTAGTTGTTTCAGGATTCCCAACACCCCGCTGCTCTCCAGCTTCATCTCAGTTTACTACCTTCCTATGTTTCCTTTGTGATTTCGGAACTTCTCTCCTTGTTAATATTGGGAAACTTGCAGAATTTTGAAAACTTAGTTCTCTGATTTTTTTTTTTAAATTTTATTTATCTGACAGACAGAGATCACAAGTAGGCAGAAAGGCAGGCAGAGAGAAAGGGGGAAGCAGGCTCCCTGCTGAGCAGAGACCCTGATGTGGGGCTCGATCCCAGGACCCTGAGATCATGACCTGAGCCGAAGGCAGAGGCTTTAACCCACTGAGCCACCCAAGTGCCCCTGATTTTATTTATTTATTTTTTAAATCACATTTCTCATGTTTAAGGATAGAATGCAGCCAGGTTATCGAAACCAATTTTGCCTTAAAAAAGGTTTATTTGTAGGTTCCCTCCACACTTGTTCCATGACTTTCCCACTCTGCATCTTTGTTCACGTTGTGGTTGGCTATCCCTTCTCAGCTTTGTGACTAAAACAAACATGTCTTTCAGGCACTAGTTCTAATGATCCTTCTTTCACGAAGCCTTCCTCAGTGCCCTTCTGAGCAGATTGTCTTTTTCCCCATCTGAACACTCACAGCACCTTGAGAGAAGGGACTCTGATAAGGTAAACTTGGTGTGCGAGAAACCATTTGGCTTTTGGAGAAAGACAGATCTGGGCACAAACTCTGGCTCTCCCACTCACAGTATGATCGCTGGCAAACTGCCTAATTTCATCTGAAGCATAAGTGTAATAAGTTCTTGAGGGATTGGCATGGAAATGAACGAAGTAGTAAATGTTAAGCCTGACAATAATAGACAATCAGTGTTTCTTAACTAAATTCATGTATGTAGTGTTCAGACTTGTCCTGAGTCATGTAAATATGGTGAATTTTTCAAAGATACATTTGAGGAGCAGCTACTGTACTTTCTTCCATAAGATTTTATCAGCAGTAAAAAGTCACTAAAAAAGTTTATTTTGTGAGATTTCTAACACTTTCATAAAAATATGAAACTTTGATCTAGAGAAATATTATTTCAAATTTTGCTATTTTTTAAAAATGAGAAATGGGTACATTTCTTGCAATGTTATGAATGTTTAGGGTTCTTTTTCTTCTGATAATGTATTTTCGCCGTATTTCTTTAGATTCTGTTTTTGCTGTGATCTCTCAGCCTTCTGTATTTTCTCTGTTTAATTTTGAGAAGATTGCTTGAATAGATTGGGACTCATAGAATCTAACATACTGTATTGTACCATGTTGGAGGTTAATGCTGTGAATGGCCAGTGGGCTCAAAAGTTTTTTGGGTCAGAGACACTTCTGAGATTGTGAATAAAGCTAGAGTCATTCTCCCTAGAAAATTCGGTATACACAAAATTTTATATAAAATTGAAGTGTGCAAAGACAGCTTAGGACTCAGGATGCCAGCTTTTAGGGACATAAACCAGTATTTTTCATACTGCTTCTATACACATTAGTGGGTCGTGAAATTGATTTTTGAACCATAAACAGTATTTATTTAAAAAGTGGAACAGAGGGACACCTGGGTGGCTCAGTCCATTGAGCATCTGTCTTCAGCTCATTGGGGAGCCTGCTTCTCCCTTTCCTCCCTGGTCCTGCTCTCTCACTATCTCTGCTGCTATCTGTGTCTCTTTCTCTCAGTAAATAAATATAATATTTTAAAAAGTGAAATAGAATAGAATGTATGGAAAGTGATATATACACAGTTCATAATGTGATTAAATATTATTTTATAAAAGACCTTTTTTCATTTTTATGTTCATGTGTCCTGGTTGCTAATGTAAATGGATTTCTTATAGTGGATCATAGTAAAAAATGTGAGAACCATTGACAAAAGTCCACAGATGGGACACTCTGCTTCTCACATAGTATTATGTAACAATCCTGACACCTGACTTCCAGATTTGTATGTCTGGTACTCATGTAATTTAAGGTACCAGTTCTGAACTTACCTTCCGTCTCTGTTTGATTCCTATTGCTGTAATCAGTTTCCCCAAATGTGAGAATCTGGCCACCTGGGCAGAATCTAAATGTACTAAAAGCATCATCTCTTCAATTTTGCTTCATTTGGAGAGTTAGTTAAACGTGTTGAGGTGAACATTTTTAACAATTGAAATGATTCCATTGGCTTTGAATGGATATGGTTTCAAAAATTATTTGTATTCCCATTTACCTTGAATTAACCCTCTTTGAAGTCAATTTTAGCATTATAAAAATTGCAGTATAGCTATATCAAGAGAAAGAGAAGATCCAGCGGCCTGTTTTTCTTGATCTTTTTATTCAGTGATATTATCTACAAACATAGTTACTTTGAGTAACTTGCCCACAGTCAAATAGCTAGGAAGGGACAGAACTTGGATTTGAAACCTGGTTCCTCCACCTCTGAAGTCCATTCTCTTATTTAATCATTCCCTGGATTTACTTAGATCCTGTGCATTTAAAGACTGTTTCCTAGTTTTGTCATCAGATTTTAATGTAATCTTTATAGTCTTCCATAATGTAGTGTTCAACATTGTCAAGTTTGCTATGAATAAGAGGATGTGGCTGGACCTTGATTTTATTTTACTTAATAAAATAAATTGATTTTTTTTTTCTTTTCTTTTGCTTCACTGCAGACTATCTGTCAGAAAACACCGAAGGACTCTCCAAAGTATGAGGTCTGCAAAAGAGCCCTAAAGGAAGTGAGCAAGGTAACTGTTGAAAGCTACCTTGTCCCTCAGTAAACCCTTCAGTTTCTCAGAAGAGCACACATCTGGGTTTGATACTGAGCATTGGGAGTTCTCAAAGCCATTCACATGGCATTCTTTAGGGAGCTGAGAAACAAAATAATGTTTGCTGTTCTCAAATGAAGTGAGTATTTTTATTGTCCTCCAAGGTTGCTGTAAGGGCCAATAGAGATCTCATTTTCTTTTGGTGTCTGGATAGTCGTTTATTCATTCTTTCATTCATTAAACAGCTGTTTACTGAGTATCAACTACTGTGCCAGGCATGATGCCAGCCCCTGAAAATACAGTGATGTAGACTAGACGTAAGACAGTTGTGGTTAATGTCCTCATGCAACGTGCTGTGTAAAGAGGAAATCAGGTGTTCAGTAAGAATTACAATAAAGAATGGGGAGTAACATGGTAGAGAAGGACATAGTGATGTTTTAGCTGAACCCTAAAGCAAGCTGAGCTCTGAACCAGGGCTTGGTGGGGAAAACAGTGTCTTGGGTATGTGTAGAAACCCAAAGGCAAGAAAAATATTTGGGGCATTTGAAGAACTGACATGTTCTTCATGTGGCTATAGAGCCCAGTCTAGGAAAGAATACTGGGGAGCCAATGTTAGGGAAGTGTGGACCTTGTCTTACAACGATGCAGAAGGTATAAATTCATGTGTTATAATGGTGGCAGTGGGGGTGAGACCAGTTGTGAGGCTTTTGTATTGATTAGGCTAGAGGTGACAGTGGCCTTTATGGATGTATAGTAGGATGTAGAGAAGCGATGTATAATATTGGGAGGGTGCGCACAGAGATTGATTGGGTAAGTGTATTTAAGATCATGGAATATCAAGGAGTCAAGGAGTATGGTTGCTGGCTTGGGCAGCTAGATGGATGCTCTTATTTACCTTCACAATAGAAATATAGGGAGAAATTGATGGGTTCCATTTTGGATATGTGACAATAAAAGTTCTTATAGAATATTCAAGTTGGCTGAATAAACAGGCCAGGAGCTCATTGGAGAGACTGGAATTGGAGACGTGGATTTGGGAATCATGGGCATGTGATGATTTCTGAAGCCGGGAGAGTAGATGAGATTACCCAGAAAAGAGTGTATAAATTAAGAAGAGTAGTGAGTCTGGGACACAACCATGAAGACCACCACCATCATTCATCTTGTTTAGGGAAAAGGTACCCAAGAGAAGACTTAAAAAACGAAACATATCAGAGAAGGAGGAAAACCATAATGGCCTGGCGAATGGCGGATGATTTGGTGGAAGGACAGTGAGCCCAGTTGAGTGCTCCTGAAAGATAAAGTGAATAATGAGTGAAGTATTTATGGGTTTATCATCAGGCGAGTTGTGTCCTGGCGCTGGTGGGCATGGAAGCTGGATTGCTGGGTGTTAAGGAACGAGTGGGAGATGTGGAGATGCTGCTGGCCAGCAAATGTAGCTGCTGTTTCAACACTGGGGCTGTGCATGGAGAGAGAGAGCTGCAGCTAAAAGGGAAGTGTGGGAATGTCTTTTTGTTTGTCCAAAGATTAGAGAAAACGTGGGTACATTTCAATGCCAATAGAAATGTTGAGCTGAGACCAAGCAGTAGGTGTAGCAGTCAATGAAGATACTGTGTGAGCTAGGCAGAGGGGGACAGAGACAATGGTAGCACCAGAAGTTTCCCAAACCACTTGTAGCTACCACACCACATTCATGCCTGGCACTTTTTTTTTTTTCTTTTAAAGATTTTATTTATTTATTTGACAGAGAGAGAGATCACAAGTAGGTATAGAGACAGGCAGAGAGAGAGGGGGGAAGCAGGCTTCCAGCCGAGCAGAGAGCCCGATGTGGGGCTCGATCCCAGGACCCTGAGATCATGACATGAGCTGAAGGCAGCGGCTTAACCCACTGAGCCACCCAGGCCTCCCCTAATATACATCTTTATATTAAAAGTAAGTTTATCTGTGTCTTAGTTCATTCAGGCTGCTGTAACAAAATACCACAGACCGGGTGGCTTATAAGCGACAGAAATTTATTTCTCCTAGTCCTGGTGGTTGAAGAGTCCAAGATCAAGGTCGGGTGAGGGGTCCTTTGGTGGGCGGCAGATTTTTTTCTTGTAGCCTTATGGTAAAGGGGCTGAGGGCTTGGTAGAGCCTCTTTTATAGCACTAACCATATCATTAGGGCTCTATCCTCATGCCTTTTTTTTTTTTTTAAAGATTTTATTTATTTATATGACAGAGAGAGACACAGCAAGAGAGGGAACACAAGCAGGGGGAGTGGAAGAGAGAGAAGCAGGCTTCCTGCTAAGTAGGGAGCCCGATGTGGGACTTGATCCCAGGACCCTGGGATCATGACCTGAGCTGAAGGCAGACACTTAACAACTGAGCCACCCAGGTGCCCCTACCCTCATGACTTTTAAAGCACCTCCCAAAGAACCCACTTCTGAATACCATCATCTTTGGGGTTTAGGATTTCACTATATGAATTGGAGGGATACAAAAATGAAACCATAACAATCTGTCAACTGCTAAAATTCACCTCTTGCCCCATCAGTGGTGTGCACATCCCACTTCGGGAAACACTAAGTGAAGAAACAGCCTGACAAATGTGAGGTGACCTTAGGTCCCACCACCAGTGGGTCTCTCCTCCAGGACCCCGCATCCTGTGCTGCCTTCCTGGAGGCGGTAGGTGGAGGGTCTTTAGGTGACGCTACTAATGAACTTCTAGCATTGAACTTGGAAGAAATTTTGTCAGATTTTATTGGTTGTTACTGAGAAGCCGAAAAAGAATTCACACAGACGAGGAAAGAGGAAGGCTGTAGTAATTGTTGAATTGAGCTAGGAATGATATTTAGTGTTTTTCAAGAATTTCACACCGCAGTTAAACCACTACATTCCTTCAGGCATCTCTTGTTCACTGGATTTGACACTGGTAGTTGTAGGAAAGGTGGGCAAAAATGTAATGCATCAGTGAATTGCCTTAATCTGATACTATAAGCATATAAAAGGCTCTCTGTGAAGAAATGCCCTTCTAGTGACTTGTTTTCTCTGCATTTCTTTCTCTCTCTTGAGCACAAGTTATGAACATCAGAATTATTTCTCGAGTCTCCTAGTGGTGTATGGTAATTAAAACCACTAATACAGCCAACTTAGGAATTAACTTCTTTTTCATTTGTCAAGGTTTCTGAAGGGGTTTAAAGATTCTGGGAGAACAGTATCAGTACCTTCAACAAAAAGAGTGTATAAATAGAGCATTTGTTTTTCAAAATTAAAATGCAGAATTTCACTTGTTTGCTTTAGCTGAAAAGAAAAAAAAGTAGGAGTTTCCAGTATTTATTTTAGAGAGTGACACTTGGTATATCAGGGTCCAAGTTTTTAGAAGGAGACTACCTAAGGCCCTTGGGCAAGTGTCTCTAGATAGTTACTCATTCTTAGGAAAAATGAGTAATATCTTTTCTGGTAATTAAAATGCTAATGAAATTTATTTGCATAGTATGAATAATATGTCACTGAAATTCTTCATACACATTGCTGAAGTGAGTGTAAGTACTTACTGAATTTGGGGCCTTGGAAAGACTTACTGGCCTCGTTGAACAACTCAAAAACAAGAAAGATGTTTCTGTTAAATAAAAATGTGTTTACTTCCCGATTTTCTGTTCACATGCTGGGGTGGAGCTACGGGGTGGGCGATTGCCAGGGAATCTCAAGTTCATCTGGTGCAGAATGGCATCTGAGGTTCAAGGAGTGGGAGGTTGGAGGGTGGGTGCCAGGGAAGTCTTTCCTGCCCTCTTGCATTTACTCTCCTGAAGGGACTAACTGCTTTCATTCTCTCCTCATAAAAATGCTACTTCTGTTTGGAGATCTGTTAAGTTATAAGCTTTTCTCCCGGTAGTGAAATAGCTAATTCTCTTTAATCTTCTTCTGTAGCTTACTGGTTCCACCATTTGCAGAAAGGTAGGCATACATATCTGTTCCCCTGGAAAGATCCCTAAGCTATATCGTTACGTGAGGAACATTAAGTTGCAGAGCAATACAGATGGTGTAATGACATCTAGATAATCAAGTGTGTTGATGCTCGTAGGTATGTTACTGGTGTATAGTTACCAGTGTATAGAAATAGTCCCAGAATCATACACATTGAACTTTGAACTGTGTGGAAGGGAAAGATTCACAAGGTTTCTATTTTCACTCTAAGTACTACTTTAAGCTTTACAAAGGTATACTCTGAAAATAAACTAGTAACTGTACATTATAGAAAACTTGGAAAATTTAGGTAAGAGAAAATAAAATATATTGGTACTTTTGTCAAAAGTAATGACTGTTGGGTCACTTGGGTGACTTATTTGGTTAAGCATCTGCCTTTAGTTCAGGTCCTGATCCCACGGTCCTGGGATGGAGCCTGACATTGGCCTCCCTGCTCAGCAGGGAGTCTGCTTCTCCCTCTCCCTCTCCACACCTTCCCCCCTCCCTCCACTGCAGCCCCATGCTCTCTCTTGCTATCTCTCTCTCAAATAAATAAATAAAATCTTAAAAAAAAAAAAAGTAATGACTGTTGTCATTCTACTACGTATACTTCCAATGGGATGTCTAATCCAATACCAATATATGGTATAAACGTACCCAGAAAAATTGATTCTTATGGTACCCATTTCACTTACTATTCTACTAGTACTGCCTAGAACATTGTCTTACATAAATGTGCTCATCTCATTATTTCTAAAGACCAGTTTCTAGAAGTGGGTTTATTGGGACAAAATTTAGGTATTTTTAAAGGCCCCCAAGTGCCTTCAAGAAAAGTTGCTCCCAAGTCCATGGCCACCAAAAGATATGTAAATGTCTGTCTTTCTGCACACTTCCTAGCATCAAATATTCATTTAATCTTTGTGAATGTGGGGTGCCTGGGTGGCTCAGTGGGTTAAAGCCTCTGCCTTCGGCTTGGGTCATGATCTCAGGGTCCTGGGATTGAGCCCCGGGTTGGGCTCTCTGCTTAGCAGGGAGCCTGCTTCCCCCCCCCGCCTTGTGATCTCTGTCTTTCAAATAAATAAACTCTTGAAAAAAAAATCTTTGTGAATGCAATAGATTGAAAATATTTTAAATTTATATTTGTTAGAAGGTTTGAGCTTTTTTTTTTTTTAAATATATTTGGCTTAAAAAAAAGTTACAGAGTTGAATTTAATAAAGCTTTGACAGCTGCCGAAGGCAGGCATTATTTTAATATGCTGAGCCTGATTTTAATAAAAACATCAGAGCACACATTTGCAAACGAGTTCTTGTCCCTTTGAAATAGTCATTAAAATGGGCTCCACTGATGAGACCATTGCTTAAGACATTTGGGGAATTTTCTTGTTTTTAATATGCTCTTTGAAACCTTGTCTTCTGTTTTGGTGGCTGACTCCATGGACTTCTGCTGATGAAATCGATATTTGGAAGTTTATGAAGTGAGATGATAACCCAAACTTAGTAATGCCATTTTCCCTTCTCATTTTAAAATGGGATAATTATAAAGGAACTGCTCCTCCACCCTGCCCCCACCCCCTTTTTTTTAAGTGACTTACAAACTGTCTCTGAAGGCTGTTTACACAGAAACATTTGCTGCGTGTTCCTTGTGTTTTTAGGTGCTGGGCTGTGGGCACTAGGCTGACATATATGGAAATTTCACAATCTCTGCTCTCCATTCTCTTTGGAGAGAAACTGTCCCAGATAAGTCCTGAGAGACAGGTAGGGGGTTATAAATCTAGATAAGAAGAAGTCGGTTGGACAGAGTGGACTGAAGGGTGTGTGGGCAGAGGAATCACACATGCAAAAGGGCAAAGGCAAGATGGAATGTGGTGCTTTGACCAGAAGTTTTGTAGGGCTGAGGTCCAGGATAAGAGCAGTTGCCAGATCATGGTGTTGCTAAGACCTGATTCTGAAAGCTCAGGGGAGCCTACTAGGGATTTTATAGCCCAGGCGTTTCATGATCATATTTGAACTTACAAGGATTGATAGTGTTATCATCAGGATGTGTAAGGGTAGGGTAGGAGCAATGGATGGCAGAGAATAAGTAGGCCAATAATCCAGGGAAGGGGGGGTTTGGGCCTGAGTTCTGGGCACAAGGCAAAGGGAGGGAAATGTTACAGAGGACAAAGGAGAAGGAGGCGACTGAGAGCAGTGAGTGCCAGGGTTTCGGACTGGGAAGGTGGATGATGCTGGAAGTAGTCACTGACCTAGAGGACACGGGGCCACAGGGAGGGGGTGATGAAGGGGGTGTGTAGGTTTGGTCATTCTCATTTTAGAGTTCGAGCTGCCTGTGGGCCATATAGGTAGTTGGTAGTTGGTGGTAGAACCCAGGGGACAGACCAAGTCCAGGAACATAGATATGGGAGCTGTGAACATACTCCTCAAGAGAATTTGTGAAAATGTCTGGAGTCACGGCCACCTGGTTAGATTTCCTTTCAGCATACTTAATCCTTTCAGCATACTGCAGTTTCAGATTGCCCCTAACCCTACGCCGGGTGTTTTCGGCCCTTGTTTGTGACCAGGTGTAGCCATCCGTCCCTGCATCGGTGGACTCTAGGTTCAGACTGAAAGATAAGCTATAACTGAAGATAGGGGTACCCCCCAAATCTAGAAATCTATTAAGCAATCGGAAATCATTTAAGCGTTCATCAGTAGGGAATTGAACAAACACATTGGGGAAAGCCTGTGATTGTAGCATAAATTGCATCCTCTCTCTCCCCTGCTGAAAGCCTGCGAGTAACGCTTCTCTTTGCACTCGGATTGCAGTCCAGATGCGTTAAGAACTTGTGTGCTTTGACCCTGGCCTCTGTCCCTTCATCTTGTACCATCTTCCTTGTGTCAGGCTCTTTTCCTTTCTCAGGCACAGAACACTTTACCATGATCAGCCCTTTGCTCGTGGTGTTCACTGTGCCTAGACCAACACCAGGACCAGGTCTGAAAGGGTCTCAAGCCCAGAGCTTCTGTCTCCATGTGGGGTTCACCAGTCCCCCAGCACACACATGTGTTCTTGTGCACCAACTTGGAAACTCTCTGAAATTCACAGTCTGGGAATTTTTATGGAGGTTTCATTCTGTAGGCATGATTGATTCCATCTTTGACGATTAGTGGTCAAGCCAATCACCAGCCTTCTCCTGTCCCCAATAGTCTGGTTGGGGAGGGTCTGGCGGGGCTGAAAGTTACAACCCTCTCTGTAATCACTTGGTTGGCTCCCCTGACAACCAGCCTTATCCTTAGGGGGTTTCTACAAGCTACCTCACTAAGGTAAATTCAGATGTGGTTGAAAGGGGCTTGTTAGGAATAGGAAGACACTCATTATGGCCTTGGAGCTTTCGGGAACTGGGAACAGAACTACATATTATAACTAAAGATGCCCCCCTGGCTCTTAAATAGGAAGTTACAAGGGCTGAAGGGACTGTGTGCTGGGAACTAAGGACCAAGACCAAATAAATTTTTTATTATAAATCACAGGCCCCCACCGAAGGTCTTGGAATACATTCAGTTCCTAGGTAGTTCAGTAATTCTAGTTAAACTGAATTTCCCTTAGCTTGGCCATCCTTGAAAAATCATCGATCCTTGGTTTCCACCCAGAGCCTTCCCTCTTTTGGCATCCTGTGTATTGGTCACATGCTTTGCAGGTAGGACTCTGCTTAAAATTTGCCTTTGCAATTGGTAGTCTGCCCCAGCCTCGGGGATTTGGAAGTGGGGAGAGAGGAAAAGCTTGCCCTGAGGCTGGCTGAGGTTTCCCTGGGGAAGGAGAGGAGGAAGGACAAAGGAAAGGAGCAGAAGGTCAGAGACCAGACTGTGGGAGAGCCCTCAGAGCACATGTGTCCCGGAGACTTTTCAGGACTTTTTTTCCCCTCTGTCTTCACATCTTAATGACACCATCTATAACTGGGTACAATGTCTTCACTGTGTAAGACTGTGAGTTCTTTAACTGTCAGAAGTGAGTCTCTGGGGCTTCCCAAGTGCAGCGAGAGATCTGCATTTGAAATTGAGATCCTGCGAGAGATCTACATTTGAAATTGAGGTTTCTCTCCTTGACCTCTTAACCGTCCTTCTTCTTCTTTGTTCTCAGTTGGTTCGACTGTGCAATGAAGGAGCTCGGAAGATGGAAAGGACTGAAATGATGTACACAATTAACTCCCAGTTGGAATTTAAAATTAAGGTATTCTCGTGTTTCTTCATAAACAGATTTATTGCTGCTCTTGCTTAAATCTTATGTAAATAGAGACAGATAGTTGAGGGCAACAAAGTGCATAGGAATTTGCTTTTCAAAGAAGGGCCATAAATTGACTGGAGAGGGACCGGACTGGCTGAGGGCATCGCAGAAGCTCCAGGCAGCTCTGTTCCTGCTTATGGTCACCAGATAAAGTTGCCTTTCTCCAGGCCACAAGGTTAGGTTTATCTAACAAGCACATTCCCTCACCCTGCCTCCCTAAATTTAGGGAAAAGGGTAGTAAAAAAAAAAGAAAAAATTTTAGAATGGAAAGGTGATTTCATGACTATTCTCAAAGTGTCCTGCAAAACAAACAAAATCCATAAATTGTAGCACGTGTTCTCCTCAATTAGGTAAAGACACTCCTCTTCCAGTCTGGAAAAAAAGAAATTAGTGGAGAACAAAGAAAATTAGTGGAGTGTTCTTTTCAAATTTGTTTTTCTTCCATAATTCTTTTTTAGGTATGTGCTGCCTCTCACTGCTTGTCGATACTGTTTAGGAGTGGATGACAGGATGTGTAAAGAAGAAAATGACCGTTAATGGCAAATCTGGGTCATAGTCCTTTGTTGGCTCACAACTGAGTTCTACATGGATGTGGGCTCACACGATTGTGATTCGGTTGTATTTTGTAACTTGTAACTTTAATTAAGCAACTTAAAGTGACTAGTCGTATTTTTTCATAGTAAAAGTGCTCCTAAACTGTGTGGTAGATATCTGTGAAAGGGATCAGCATTTCATGGTCTTGTGCGGAGAGGAGATTCTCTGCCTTGCTGTTACGGTTGGAGGACCACTGGTTCAGTAGAGCTGTATGCTTTTATTTTATAAATGAGGAAAATAAAGTCCAGAGAATATTTAATTGTTAAAGGGGTCACTGGGCTAGTGGTGGTGGAATCAGGTGGAGGGGCCTGTGTCTTGACTTGAAGATCAGTGTAATCTCTCACCAGAACGTCCTGACTACAACGGTTGAGAGGCAGGAACATGACACATAATTCTTAGAACGGAAGATGATGTGTACTTGTGAAAAACAAATGCACATATGCAGTTTGTCATAATGGCCTTCTACAGAAATTTATAGCCATTTCCAAACTCATCTTTCCTCCATCCCTCAAAGAAAAACTTGTCCTTCTTGGTAATTTGTTTCTAAGTATTTTAGGAAATATACCTAGACATCAAAAGTTTTATCTCCTCCTTTTTGAACATTATAAATTCTTAACCATTTTGATTTTTAAAGATGATAAATCCCTTCCCTGATCATTTTTCTTTTTTTTTTTCCTTCACTGAAAATCTGTTGGCTTGAGATATCTTTAAGCTCTGTTTCTCTAGAGCCCCAAATTAATTTGTAATTGAAAAATGGTTACCCCAAGGATCCTTTTTATTTTTATTTTTATTTAAAAATAAATGATTAACATCAACTGAGTTCATGAATTTTGGGTTTTTTGTTTTCTTTTGGTTCAATGATTAAAATATTTACAAGCCTAAAGGAAGATATTCTATGTTTAGATTTACAATAAGACCCTTAATTCAGACTACTTAAGAATACATAAAATCTGAGGATCTTATTTCCATAGCACTTTATGAGCAACAGTGGACATTTTTATTCAGTTCATTTTAAAGACGAGAAGCTATAGCTGTGTGAAGAAGTCAAATTATTTGTCCAAGCACATGTGTTGCTTCAACAAATTTTGTGAGCACTTTCTCTGTGGAAGGCAGCCAGAAAACCAAAACCTGATCCCTGCCCTCAGGAAACTTAACAGTCTACTAGAAGACCCCTGAAGTACACAGGAATCTGCAATGTCTGCTGCTGTCACTGTGGATGGAAGACAGTTGAGAACCTCTCTCCTTTCTTTAAAAAAATTTGTTTTAGAATTCAGTGATTCATCACTTACATACAACACCCAGTGCTCATCATAACAAGTGCCCTCCTTAATGCCCATCCCCCATCTAGCTCATCTCCCCCTCCCCTCCCCTCCAGCAATCCTCAGTTTGTTCTCTGTAGTTAAGAGTGAATTTTATGGTTTGATTCCTCCCCCACATTTTTTTTTTTTTTTTTTTTTTTGAGAATACTCTCAATGGGAAGGATGGTCAGCCCTACCCATGAGGCATACAGGGCCACATGGGGAGCTAGTCTCAGTCAGGCAAGGCTTCATACCAGAGGTACCTTTGAGCTGAATCTTGAAAGGTGAGTTAGGAAGGGTCTTCTAGAAGTAAAAAGGAGGAACAAATGCACAGGGCATGGCTTCAGCTGCTGTAGCCCAGCAGTTGTATGCATCCAGTGTGGGTAGGCATGGGGAGAAGGCAGAGCCAAGCAGTAAACAGCAGCTCATGTTGGGGGGCCTTATGTGCCAAGAGGAACAGTTGAGCAAGGTCATTTGGGAGCCACTGAAAAGTTCTAAGCAGGGAAGTGACACTTCAGCAACATGGGAAAGGCCTTTTGAACTTATTCCAAATCCAGAAGTCATTAAAAAAAAATTGGTAAGTTCATATATATAAAAAAATTTTAAAAATTTCTCTATAGAAGAGAAAAATAAGACTTAAACAAGTAGAGAGAGAAATAACAAACTGGAAAAATATTTGCAACTCACATATAGACAAGAAGTGTCTTCAGCGTATAAGCTCAGAGAGATAAGAAAAAGTTAAGGAAAAAAAAAACCATTAGGAAATTGCAAATTAGAAAATAACTCCAGCAGCTACTAGCTCTGTGAGTTTGGGCATTACTTCATGTCTCAGTTTTCTGAACCTTAAAATGGGACTGATGATAGTTACTTCCCTTAGGGAATTATTGTGAGGATTAAATTCATTGCATAAAGGACTTGGAACAGATCTGATTGACAGTAAACAAGAGGTAAATATTCAGATTCTTTGTCAGAATAGTTTCATAGTATGGACTCTGGGAAACAAGTGGGGGATTTTAGAAGGGAGGGGAGTTCGGGGCGATGGGTGAGCCCAGTGATGGGTATTAAGGAGGGCACGTATTGCATGGAGCACTGGGTGTTATATGCAAACAATGAATCATGGAACACTACATCAAAAACTAATGATGTACTGCATGGTGACTAACTTAACATTAAAAAAAAAAGAATAGCTTCATAGGTCTGGTAGGCATGTTGCAGAGGGATGAAGAGTGAATAAGATGTGAAACTGTTTAAACAGATTAGACTTTCCATCCAAGAACCCTGGCAGGAGGAAGGAAATGAGGGCTCTGGAGAAAAAGTTGGTCACCAATTAAGATCAGACACCAGTTTGTACCTCAGATCCAAGTGTTTTTTCCTCTAGACCCCAGCTTTCTCTAAAAGTTGCCTTCACAGAGTTGGGGAGGATTATTTTTTTGTCTTGTAATGGAAAGTTTGGCCTTATGAATAAGCACATGGGGAAGTTGAGGATGCCGGGCTAGACCATGAACCATATATTAAGTGTAATGGAGTGGGGTGGCGTATTGGTGGGTGGATAGGTTTCCTGGTCATTATTTGGGGACTTTGCTTATAACTAGAAGTCCAAGATATAGTGGACAAATGCAGAAGTCTGAGGTATTAAAAAGTCTGTGCATTACAGAAGACAGTTTGGTGGCTTCTCACAAAGTTAAAGTAGGATTACCATATGACCCAGCAATTCCACTGCTAGGTAAATACTCAGGAGAATTGAAGACAGTCATTCAAATGAAAGGTTTTATGTGAATGTTCATGGCAGCATTATTCACAATAGCCAAAAAAGTGGAATTGACCCCAATGTCCGTCAAGAAAATAGGTGAACTGATGAATAAAATGTGCTACATTCATAAAGTGAAGTAGTGTTTAGCCATAAAAAAGGATTAAAGTTCTGATACATGCCAACATTGAAGGTTCTGTATTCAATAATTCTGTTGATATGGACTATCTGGAATAGGCAAATTTATGGGGTTCGAAGGTAGATTACTGGCTGCCAGGGCCTGGGTAGGAGAGAGAGAGCAGAATGGAGAGTGACCGCTTACTACATATAGGGGTTTATTTATTTATTTATTTATTTATTTATTTAAATTCAATTAGCCTCCATATAGTACATCACTAGTTTCAGATGTAGAGTTCAGTAATTCCTCAGCTGGTGCTCATCACATCACGTGCCCTTCTTAATTCCCATCACCCTGTTACCCCATCCCTCCACCAGTAACCCTCAGTTTGTTTCCTATAGTTAAAATTCTCTCTTGGTTTTTCTCCCTCTCCGATTACTTACCATTCAAGCAATGAGAATATTCTGGAATTAGGTGGTGATGATTATTGCATTGCACTGTGAATGTGCTAAAAGTTACCGAATTACATGTACACTTTAAAATGCTTAAATGGAGGTGCCTGGATGGCTCAGTGGGTTAAACCTCTGCCTTTTGGCTCAGGTCATGATCTCAGGTTCCTGGGATCGAGCCCTACATCGGGCTCTCTGCTCAGTGGGGAGCCTGCTTCTCCTTCTCTCTCTGCCTGCTGCTCTGCCTACTTGTGAGAGCTCTCACTCTCTCTCTCTCTGTCTGTCAAATAAATAAATAAATAAATCTTTAAAATGCTTAAATGATTAATTTTATCTTGACTAAAAAGTTATTCTTCAGCAACTCTTCTTTGTCTTGCTGGCCTATAAAATTGTTAAATTTTACGCAGAAGCTAGTTTTCTAAAATGCTGCTTAAAACCAAAAAGAATAAAAAGTCTTTTCTCCATAGAAATTATTTCAGGACTCTTAAGGAAATATTTTTGTTCATGTATTTCTTTTCTAGTGTTGGTTCTAGTCAGAGTTTCTTAACTAGGGGAATTCATTTATTCTACCGTGGATTGTCTGGATTCTTTTCTTTGGTCATTTTAGTAGTTTTTTCTTTAAAAAAAACAAAAACAGAAATGAAATGAATTTAATCTCCTAATAATAAATTTGGAAACAAACAACACTTATAATGCCAGGTTTTTGCTTTCAAAAAAGCATTGACATCTTGAAAACTGCTGCTGATTTTAGATCTTAATTTTTGCCTCATGGAATGTGAGGAATCCATAAAAATCAATCTATTTTAAAAACTATATAGAATAAAAGATATACTTCCCCTGTTTCCTGAACCAAGAACTGCTCTAGGGTGGTGTATACACTGGACCTTAGCCGAAGAATGCCCTCAGTGTATCCCATAGGCTTACACGCACTAGCAAGATAGCTCTGTGTTCTCCACAACTGCAGCCCTTTCATGGGACCAAACCCGACACGTGATCCCTTGTGGTGACCTCTGGGGTGGGATGGTAGGGTCCTACTGAGTTGTCTAAGCATCTCTCTGTTATCGCCTTTTAAGTCTCAGCTATCCCAGTTGGATAATTGTTTGATTTGAGATTTGGGGGCTGGAAACTCCATGAACTCCCTTAATAGCTAGCTTTGAAAGTTTGAGGTCAACCATAATCTTTCATCTTCCTTTTTAAACCTTCAGGAAAGTAGTCTATAACTGATGAGCAACCTCCTTATAAAAGTCCCTTTATAAAATTAAAAAATACATTTATGAACATATGTGTGTGAGTGTGTGTGTGTGTTTGTGTATGAAATCCTTTCTTAGCTTTCTTATTTCTTCTCTATACCCTCAGTTTCCTCTAGCTATTTTTAAATCACTGTTCCCTGAAAAGGATGGCCTTTGGTACTATTACAGCTATGTTTTATGTGTCCAAGACCTTTTGCTTATTCTCTGGGTACAGTTTTTAAAATCAGATTTTTGGAAAAAAAAAAAAAATAAAATCAGATTTTTGGCAATAAGCATTTCTGATAACTTAAAAAAAAAGAACTCAAGGATAAGGATTATTCTGTAGTTTTGAGAGTTTTTCAGTTGGAAACTGGGCACTGAATAAAGAAAAAGCAGTATGTAATTCCTTGGATACAGCCTTTTCTATGAGATTAAGATGGATTATTTTGGAAGAACATCCTTTGCATAATGAGAAAGTGGCCTGATGCTGTCAGGGATGAATTTCCATGAGGAAAACTACTATAAACTTAAGAGCAGGTGTTCTCCAGACAATGACTAAGTAAATATCAGTAGACAAAACATAGTTTGTAGGGTTTTTCCTGTTGAATAAAATCCTTTTAGTTGATAAAATGAATGTAGACTTTTTTGTTTCTTGTAACTATAGTTATCAGGTTCTGTTCTGTGATATTTAAAATAGCAGCAGTTTGGTACTGATAGATTTCCTTTTGAGGCTTTTCCATTTTACGTGACTCCCTGTCCATCTTTTGAGAGTTACAGAAGGGTAATAATTTTGGGCTGACCTAATAATATTTTCTCATTGAGTTTTAGTTGTCATATAAGCAAGTTAATAGTTTTTTCTATTAGGAAATAATTGTTCTTTCATTTTCTCTTGGAGAATATACTGTACTTCTCTAATTATATTTCAGTGTTATATACTTATAAAGTAATGATGTATATACCATGATAGGTATTGTTTGTTTAGATGGGAGTTTAACTTCCCCTTCAATAATCTTTTTTTTTTTTTTTAAAGATTTTATTTATTTATTTGACAGACAGAGATCACAAGTAGGCAGAGAGGCAGGCAGAGAAAGAGAGGGAAGCAGGCTATCCACCGAGCAGAGAGCCCGATGCGGGGCTCAATCCCAGGACCCTGGGATCATGACCTGAGCCGAAGGCAGAGGCTTTAACCCACTAAGCCACCCAGGCGCCCCCCCCTTCAATAATCTTAAAAGGACTTTCATTTGGCTTCATACACTGAGTTTTTCTCCTTCTGTAGCCTTTTCCTTTAGTCTCCTCTTCCCGGTGGTTGGTCAAAAGAGGTGAGTTGACAGCCTACGTAGAAGACACCGTGCTTTTCTCAAGAAGGACATCTAAACAGCAAGTCTACTTCTTTCTCTTTAATGACGTGCTCATTATCACCAAGAAGAAAAGGTAAGCCATTTTGTGATGTTGCTGGCCGTACATCTGGTTTTAAAGCTCTGTAATTCAAATGTCTTTTAGGGTTGATTATCCTTTAAAAGCTTGTGATGTTAGACTTACAGTTTCCATGTGTGGAAGTAGCATCCATGTTTCACTTTCTTTAAATTTCATACCCAGTTGAGACTCATATCATTCCAGCCATCCTCTGTCTAGCTTTTCCAGTGTGCAAGTCACTCTTCTGAGCGTTTTACACATTCTATCATTGGATTCTCATGACATTCCTGGGGAGGTAGCACTCATATTATTCACCATCAGCATTTTTCACACTTCTTCTGCCATAGAATTTTTGTAGAAAACACATCAAAGTTGCTCCAGTTGAGAACAAGCTGGGACACAATTCGAGTGTTTGTAACTTAATTTGAAACCCACTGCTCTTAATGGCTACTGGTCTAGGAATTCTCCCTGTGACTGGCAGAATGAGAGCGGTACACCAGTACTTCCTTCTGAAGGGGATAAAGTCAGTCAGCTGGGAGAGTGTTTCACACACAGACACACACACACACACACACACACACACGCATACCCCCCTCAGCTCTGTCTTTTTTAAGATTTTATTTATTCATTTGAGACAGAGAGACAGAGAGAGCACAAGTGGGAGGGAGCTGCAGGCAGAGGCAGAGGGAGAAGCAGACTCCCCATGGAGAAGGGAGCCTGATGAAGGACTCAATGCCAGGACCCCGAGATCATGACCTGAGCCAAAGGCAGATGCTTAACCATCTGAGCCATCCAGGGGCACCAACTCTGTCTTTCTTTAGGGAACATTCTTCATCAAGTGTACTTAGTGTCTTGAGGGATTGCAAAGTATTTTTTTACTGGTCCTTTGTAAATACTCCATCTTTTCTAGAATATGAACTTAGAGAAACAACATAAATCTGTGGTATTTTTCCACATAGGAAGGCAATGATGGTGGACTGAACTGCTGGCATAAAATAGGTGTAAGTGTAGTTCATGGGGTACAGTTTAGATAGACAAGGGGAAGAGAAACCTGGTAACAGTCCTCTGTGAATGTATAAAATAAATGTGCAGGTTTATCATGAGATAGTTTAAATTCTGCTTCGAAGTTGCTGATATTTCAGCTTGAAAATTCAAGCTAAATTGAAACAGAGTATGAGCTTTTCTTTTTGCTTCTTTTAATTTGCCTGCATTATGAATTATTTCAGCTGCTTGGCGTCCAGCTGAAATGAAAATTATGTACAATCTATCCTGAAAAGCCATACTACGACTATGATAAATACTTAAAGATGCTACTTACTGTTTTTCATACTTAGGAAAATAGTGTTGCCATAACTTCAAGAAGAAATTATTTCTCTTACCTGGGACAGTTTCAGTAGTCCCAATAGCTAAGTAAATTTGATAAATAAAAATTGGGGAGGGATTATAATTTTGTATTTTTATGTTTATTTGGTTTCCTATGAGATAGCATGTTTTTTTGGCTTTCATTGAGATGTTTTGTTTTTAGGAGAAAGTAATTATATATGACTCTTCAAATGTCATTACTCTGGACTTTTAACATCTTCCAGCTGTTAAAATATTTGTTCTGTCTCAGTGGACCAAAAGCTGGAACTAAACTTTTCATTTTCTTGATAAAATATACGTTGACAGGACAAAGCTGATCTTAAATATAAATGTAGCTTTGATTATGATTTCTTCAGTGAGTTCATGAAAACATTAAGGGTATTTAAGCCAATATAGCACAACTTTTATTCTCAAACTTGCATAAAACTACCCAGTAAATAGACTTTTTGAACTTGAGAATTAAGGTATATGCTCTTCTACTCAGCCATGTGCTTTGCCCTCCATGGCGGATTTTGTCATTATAGCTGGTGTTGCCTTCATAGCTCTCCCACGTTTATTCTCTCAGGTATATTTGAACTTGTATTATTAGTAAGTGAAAGGAAAAAATATATACATATGGCTCCAACGAAGAGGGCAACCTTGGTACCTATCTTTGCCTTTACCAAACTGGGATTTCTTTTTTGCCCTTCCCCGTGAGCTCCTCATATTTCTAGGAGAATAGCACTGAAGGCTCAAGTTGTTTATAACCTGAATTCACGGTGACGGTGACAAGCAGACCGCAGAGACTTGATAAACAGGCTCGGTTAAAAATGTACAGTATGCGCAGCCGTATTTACCCTGTAGCTTCAAGGAGGCAACTGCGAATGCTTTGCATGCCGGAGGCAGCAGCGAAGGAGATACGACAGCTTTGAAGATGGCAATAATTTAGGCATGGCTGCGAGGTACAGATAAAGGATAATTACCTGTGCCAACTCTGGAGGGCCGAGCCAGCCACCCACTGTCTAATTGTAATTCCAGGGTTCAGCCAAGGGGCTTAGCTGCTGGGTCTTCTGGGGGTTTCAGCTTCAGGGAGGCTCCTGGCTACCGGGGGAGACCACCTGGGAGAGCGGTTCCTCTTCCTCCTCTGACCCAGTCTGGCAGCTGGTTTACTCTGAGCACGCTGCATAGATGGCTGTTGGTGCGGCCGCCTCGGCTCTGTGACCTGTGTGTCAGTGCCAGGCTTGCGGAGCTGATAGTGACTGCAGGGCTGTCCTCCAGGGCAGGTTTTTTTTAGACGACTAGAGGAAGTTTCAAGTCTCCATTAGCCCTGGGCTGGTTATGGGTCACTGTATTAATAGTCTCTTCGACCACATTTCTGAAGGATACATGACCTGTTAGGCTCTTCTGGGTGAGAAAATGAATTCTTTGTAGTTGAAGCTCTGACTGCAGGTTATGTGGGTACTTCTAGAGCAGAGTTCTCACCTCCGTGCTCTTTTTTTGTTTTTTAAAGATTTATTTATTTGGGGCACCTGGGTGGCTCAGTGGGTTAAGCCTCTGCCTTCGGTCCAGGTCATGATCTCAGGATCCTGGGATCGAGCCCTGCATTGGGCTCTCTGCTCAGCAGGGAGCCTGCTTCCCTTCCTCTCTCTCTGCCTGCCTCTCTGCCTACTTGTGATCTCTCTCTGTCAAATAAATAAATAAAATCTTTAAAAAGAAGATTTTATTTATTTGAGAGAGAAAGCACGAGCCAGGGTGCGGGGGTGGGGTGGGGAGAAGCAGACTCCCTGCAGGGAGCCAGATTTGGGGCTCGATCCCAGGACCCTGGAATCATGACTTGAGCCAAAGGCAGATGCTTAGCAGACTGAGCCACCCAGGTGCCCCCCCCACCTCAGCACTCTTGACTCCTGACAGTTCTTTGTTGTGGGGGCTGCTCTGTGCTTTGTAGGATGTTTTAGCAGCATCCCTGGTCTCTACCCACTACTTGCCAGTAGCCTCTCTTCTCAGTTGGGACAACCAAAAATGTCCCAGACATTGTTGTATATCCCTGGGTGAGGGGGTGTAAATTGCCACCATTGGAGAACCACTGAACCGCGGTGATGTCAGACGGTCAACGAGTACTGCCTTCATGATAGGGGTTGTGCAAATGTGTCTGACCTGACACAGCACCAACAGTAATACTGTAATAGCAGAACAGACTGCCACGTTATACTCCTAGAGTATTGAATAATAACCTATTTATTATTATCCATTACAGTGCACAGACCACCCCATGTCCAGTCTCAGGGACCAAGTACTTTTATGTCCACATTTGAAATGTGAAAACTGAATCCAAGACCTAAATAGGTTCAGACTCTCAAAAGCCTTATTTTGTGAGGTAATTCACTGCCTTATTCTCCTTTGGTGCCTTCTCTCTGGCTTGAATCCCCTCCTCCCAATTTCTTCTGAAGTAAAATCAGTTCCCTCTCTGTTAGTTCTTTTTAGCTGCTATAGCAGAGTCTCACAGACTGGGCAGCTCAAGACATTAGGAATGGACTGTGTCCCAGTTCTGGAGGCAGGGGTCCAAAATAAAAATATTTGCAGGGCCATGCTCCCTCCGAAGCTCTGTGGAGAATCCTGCCTCACTTCTTCCAGCTCCTTGTGGCTCCTGGGACTCCTTGGCGTGGAGTAGCATAACTCCACTCTCTGCCTGTCTTCATATGGCCTTCTCTCTGTGTCTCAGTGTGTCTTGAAATCTCTCTCTCCTTATAAGGACACCAGTTATTGGATTTAGGGCCTGCTCTACTCCAGGATGATCTCACCATAACTTGATTACATCTGCAGAGGCCATATTTCTAAATAAGGTCCCTTGTACAGGTACCAGGGGTTAGGACTTAAGCAGACTTTTGGAGGACACAGTTCAACTCCCTACACTCCCCCAGCCCATCACCACTATTAGATTATGATCACATAATGAATAAATTGTGCTTAAGAATGATGTCTGAAGCCAGCAGTAGAACACACCTTTTTTTTTTTTTTTTTTTTTTTTTTTTAACATTGAAAATTCCCCTTTTTTTTTTTTTTTTTTTTTAATTTTAACATTGACTGATGCCATTTTACATAATTTTGGAATGTCATCTTGGTCATGTGACTTGAACACCTCCGTTTGGGACTCATAGGTTACCTTCATCTACATCTTCTCCTTCAGACCTGTTCCTTCTCCAGGGTCTCTCCTCCTTTGTTAAAGCCACTCCCTGCCTCCAGTTGCTCCACAATAAACCCAGAAGACGACTTTGGCTCCGTGTCCTCATCGCACTCCCCTGTCCAGCCAATCACTTATCTCTTAAGCAGCCCGTGTAATGGCTTCTCTCCTCTCCCATTGCCGGTGCCCTTGTGGAGAAACCTTGAATTCACCTATGAGACATCTAACTGGAATGCCACCATCCCCCCATCCACTTGACATTCTACGGAGGAATGTAAAAGTATGCTTTTTAAAGGACACATCTACTCAGTCCATCTCTTGCAAATGGCCCTTCTGTGGTCCTCCCTTGTTCTTAGTGGTCCTCCCTTGTTCTTAGACATACTGAACTACCTCTCTAGCCACCAGGACCCGGCACAACTTTCTTTGCCTGACTTCTCTCCCTCCTCACTGATCTACTCCACCCAAGCCTTTTCTAGGCAAAGTCCTTTTTATTCTTGAG